GGTTTTGATTGCTCTGATTACTAATATTACAATTAGAAGTATAAAAGAAATTGTGCACGATAGTAAAATGTAAAATTAAGAATTGAAAACAATAATAATATAGTCCTAATACATTACAGGGAAAACATGAAAAGAGGTAGAAGAATGAAAAATGTAAGAAGGAAAAGGGGGAAGGGGAAGAAAAGTCACGAAAGAAATTACAGGGATGTAAAGGAAAAGAGAGACGGGTCGTAAGTATGAAAGAAAATAAAAGAAAAGGGGCAAAAGAAATGGGAAAAATAGTAAAAGGTAAGTAAGGAAATACGACTAAGAATATAAATACTTAACAATTATTTTTTTAAAAGTAAATAAAATTCTGTATTTTCTAATTATTTATTTATTAACATTATATATTTATTTATCTTTTATTGTTGTTATTCATTATTGTTACTCATTATTTTTGTTAGGTGAAACTTTTAATTATTTTTACCACACCATGCTGTAAAGCGCATACAGGTATTTTACATTATGCGCTAAATAAATTGACAATTATTAGACCTATTATTACTATTATTATTATTATTACAGGTATTCCGACATTGCCTATTATTTACAAGTGATAAAATTATGACCCGTAAATAAGTTATTATTTAATAAAGCATATTATTATCATCACAGTTAATCACAGGATAATATATAAAGTAGGCATATATAATCATCAATAATAAAATGAGTTAGCACAGTGGAAATAAAATCAAAAGGATTAATCATTTGGATAATAGAAACTGTAAACTTCAACAAATATGGCTTACAAATGATATCACTATTGGAGATAATCTCTCAATCTCTTAACCTTGCTAGTATACTATGCTATTTTACTATAGTAAAATCAACATGTTCGATATTTTCATTTCTACTCCAGAGCGCTTTAGTTCTCAAGACCGTGTGTAAACACCACATGATATAAATATGTACGTTTGCGTAAAATATATCCATATATCTGTAGATCAAGGGCAAATATAAACGACCTGTCGTTAACAACAAACTGCGCCCTACGTCACATTAGACGCACCACTTACACGGAAGCTGAAAATAACGGATATTACACGTAAAACTTGCCGACGTTTGATAGACAAATACACCACACAGTAATTGCTTAAGTCAACGCTAACTAGTCGCTGTCAGCCAAAAAGGTAAATTACCTCCTCAAACAGAATCATAATTACAAGTGCGACATGTACCTGTTATTAAAAGTCAACATTGGTAGCAAAAAAATCAGAGCAATTTATGACACCACCATAGATAGAATATCAACTGCATATTTCGTAACGAGAAGATAATATGCCTTCATGATCATCATCATCATCTGCACTATTATTATTATTATTATTATTATTATTATTATTGTTATTGTTATTGTTTTTGTTATTGTTGTTATTATTATTATTATTAATATTATTATTATTATGAAATTATAGAAAATACTGTCAAGAACGCTCACGCAGGGCAACCATCTTTTTAAATTATGTAACTATAAGAGTGGTTGGCATACTGCTTGAAGTCCAAATCTAAAGGGTGCAATTGCCACATTTTTTTGCCCTTAGGTACGTACTTTATTCACATGTATTTATTGGACAGACAGAAAAGTTTTGAAAGTTGCACCATTATATGCAATCTTTCAGGGTTATGGAACGCCCATAGAATCCTTCCATATCCAGGACCCAAGCACAGGCCCTGTCTTCCATAACAATGTGTTGTAATGACAGAGGCAATAATGGAGAGCGCCCTAAAGTACTGACAATAATGTGCCGTATACCTCCCTCATAATACCAAATTAATACAATACAGACGTTAATTAGTCCACTAATTTTCTATGGGATTGGTTGTTTTCATCCCTGAAATTTGCAAACATACATTAATCATTTACTATCATTTATAAATCAGCTAAGCATTCGTATCAACAATAGACCTACACTAGAGTGGTAATGTATTAAAAACCAAAAATAGAATTTGGTGAGTTACCAGAATACATTGGCCGTTTAAGCTTTTAGAAACATTATACTTGGAACAGGAAATATATATGTCAATCACTTATTTTCACTTAACATTGTTTTGTATTTACGAATGGATTTATTCAGTGTAAACACCAACACTTATTTTCAGTGGGGTTCTTCTGGTGGTGATTGGAAGTGTACGCCACAGGCAGCTAATCCCCTTCTCTTTTTCAAATAGTGTACTGCGTTCTTTAACGTGCACACGGGCCATAATGCACACGGGACCACCAGCTTAAATGTCTCATCCGAAAGACAGTGCGCTGTTGTTACTTGCATTTCACCCCTCCAGCTAAAACTCAAGGGGAACGGCGATGAGAAGCGCACACACCGTGGCTACCACCACCAGTTTAGCCGACTGAGCTAAGCTGCTTTCTGTTTGACGGGTGTTGGGCCATGTTCACCTACCTGTACCCCACTGGCACCGCCTTTGCTTAACTTACTGATGAGAGGCTTCGGAGTGAATACAACAGCCTTGTATTTACAAGATTTGAACTGGAGTTGCATCAGAAAATTAGGACCCTAATCATTGACCAATGTAGGGTATATAGAAAACCACAATTAATTAGTGTTACTGTTACATAACATGTAGTTGCTTCTAAATAAAACCATCCTAATAAAAGAACAGTTATGGTAGGCATACGTTTTTGTACAAATGTAAATATACTTTACAGAAAGTAGCGTGCCAGATGTAATCAAAATTTAACCATACTATAATTACGAAAATAATATATTCACAGTAATTAATTACGGAAATGGTGGAAGTAGTTTCATTCAAAATTTTAATTTTTGTCAATTAAACTGTGGTATTTTATAAAAAGGTGATTTTGATTAAAACAGTTAGAATAGAAATTAAAAGAAATGGTTGATGTAAATCAAGTTGACAGTAACTGGCTTAATGAGTAGCTCTCATCTACTACTAATGATAATATAAACTGATATTTTGAGTAACAGAATTTAGATAGCATTGTGAGCCAACGGTAAGTTAACATTATCACGTTATAATATTAAAAATTGTTTTTCACTTTTATATTCAGAAAATGCCTAACTTCTCTGCTAAGTTTACTTTGCTATCCACCCGACATAAACCCACACAAACTCATCGTGTCCTAAGTAGTGTCGAAATATACGACAACTTGCCTTTTAAATATCATTTTTTAACCTAATTTAATCTACTAACATTAATAGCAAAATGTTTAACTCAAGATGCATAAAGAGAAAGAATCTGTAATCAGTCTGAAGTTCAGAATTGATTTTGTTAAAGTGTTTCCCCCAAGGGAGGTCAATCCAGTTTTAATTATAATAATGAAATAATTTTTTTTTAATGAAATGATGGTTCTGAGTCTATTAAAGTGCCTGTTTAAAAGATGTGTATAAGAGACAGTATATATATATATAATGAATAATATATAATGAATGATAACCTTATACTAACCATTTCTAATTGATTGTTTTGGTCAACTAACAGGTTTGAGCAATCATAATTATTGCAACGCCTTGTTTTTTGTTTTGTAACCATCATGCCCGCAAACCAGTGAGCGACAATCAATTCAATATTAAAATAAAATTCTGTTAATCAATTAAAGATTAAAAAACTTCCACAATTAATTTATTAGAGTATAATTTACTTGATAGTATCTTTCAGAAAGCTGTAGTATAATAAATATTTTGGAAGTGGCAGCGTCCGGAATTTTGTGATTGTATGCAAACGTTAATGGGCAATTAAATCATTTATAATAAAGATAATAAACAATGGATAACGATAAACACAATGATAAATACAGTTATTAACAATTATACTGACTATATTATGAGTCATTAATACAGAGATGATGTCAGGTGTAACCGCTAATTGCCATAACTTATTAATCTAATTCACATATTTTCAATAATTATGACTTTTGTGGCGATAAAGATTACACAGTATTTTCGTAACATTCATTGAATACGTCAACTGTGGAATCCACTCAATCTAATTCATGTTCTAGTTCATTAACTGTACTTGATGTAAAAAATGAAATAAAATTAAATGATTAAACTCATATAACTACCGTACCATTTTATTTAAATATTCCTCTCTAATTACCATATTATTTAAAATTAACAATTTGTATGCAATAACCAAATATATTCAAAATAAGTTTATAAAAATTATATATGCAGCAATATTTCATATATTTCATATTTAATATTGGAATTGTTATTTCCCACGCCTCCGAAGGAGGAAGCAAGGGTATTGCAACTTCTGAGGCGAGGGTATTGCAATAGCGCGCTGTCTGTCTGTATGTGTGTTATGTGGGTGTGTGTCGGGCTGTGTGTCTACGGTGTCTTAGTCCATCTCAGATTATCTTGTTATTACTGTTGTTATTATTGTTATTTTCATTTGTGTTGCTAATGTTAAAGTTATGGCTAGTTTTATTATTGTTATTGTTATTATTATAAAATAAATTTTAAATAATAAACTGGTGATATATTTGTCTCCGAACTGCACACTGGACCTGGCAACGTCTAATAAGGTATATTTTGTTTATTACTTTTGTTTTTAAAATCGTGTAGGAAAGTACACAGAAAACGTTTATTAGTCTTCTAAACACATTTATAAAAAAATTATAAAAGACTGTCAAGTTAACCAAGAACACATATCATGAATTCGATGTCCAAATAACTTGACTTTTTAATTATTTCAAATTGCATCGTTTGTTGTGTTCTCTTATATTCAATTGGTGCGTTGCTAGATACGGCAAAATGCAAAGATGAAAATACTTCGAATTATGTCGTATCGATACAGACTGGCTTGCACCGTCCATAACACGAACTAATCGATGGCATAACATGTAATTAAAACCATCTTTTAAATTCTCTCCCGATATCTCGCCAATGAAGTACAAGAATCTACTCCCCCATAAAACGCATGCGCAATACAAGATGTATTTCTTCGCGAGAATGCACTAAAATCCAAATATGCTGAGTTCCGTTCACATAAATAGAAAGCAAAGAGAAGGGTCTCTACAGTCAGAAAAGTCCATCAGCTTAGCCTACACCTGACCAGTACAAACCGGCAAAAATGTTTTATTACAAATTATTTAGTAGATTATGGCTGGTAGTGTGTTTACTGCATGCGGAACTGATAACCTCAGCAGACTGTGAGCCAACGGTAAGTTAACATTATCACGTTATAATATTAAAAATTGTTTTTCACTTTTATATTCAGAAAATGCCTAACTTCTCTGCTAAGTTTACTTTGCTATCCACCCGACATAAACCCACACAAACTCATCGTGTCCTAAGTAGTGTCGAAATATACGACAACTTGCCTTTTAAATATCATTTTTTAACCTAATTTAATCTACTAACATTAATAGCAAAATGTTTAACTCAAGATGCATAAAGAGAAAGAATCTGTAATCAGTCTGAAGTTCAGAATTGATTTTGTTAAAGTGTTTCCCCCAAGGGAGGTCAATCCAGTTTTAATTATAATAATGAAATAATTTTTTTTTAATGAAATGATGGTTCTGAGTCTATTAAAGTGCCTGTTTAAATGTCAACACGTGCGAGTATAAGCTGACTCTCAATACGTTTTCTAAAGGATATATTTAAGAATAATTGAGTTAAGGATTGTAACGAGTATAAAGGCTTGTGGCCCCTAGACACCAATATCTATAGGCCAGTATTGGTGAAACGGTGTGATTTATAAGCCTTGATATTTGATGCCTATTTTTATATTTTACATAATGTAGGTTATATTAACAAGGTTTAGTTATTATTTTTATTATTATTAAAGCCGGGCACTTATTGCTCTCGACGGTCGTCGGCCGACGCGATTCCAAAGAACGCAACGCGACGACGCCCGCGCAACTGATTGTTTATAATGACGATCGGTTCAGACTGTCTATCGTCGTCTACCGATCACAGAAAACGGAGTTGGATTCGTCTTGCGACGGTCGTACGACGCAGTCAGTGCTCGGCTTTAAACAGAAGTGCATTTATGACGGTGCTGTAGGAAATACAATTAACAAAGATGTAAACATTGGTATCTCTCCGATTCAATTTCTGTTACTATCATTTAAGCCTACATACACACACACACACCCCACCCCCCCCCATTGATAATATCGCTAAAAAGAATTCACCATAACTGCCTGTTTAAATATCAATTAATCAGTGCATTTGATGGCTAAAATTATTGGTTTTATCATTCTATTAACATACTACGGTATGACATATATTTGTTATTTTTTATTCTTAAAGTGATTTCAATTGATTTATTTAAAATGAGCATTCAGAATTATCAATCATCATTCGTCACATTCTGAGTATCGTACAGACCTCGTGAAGAGCGCGATGCCATAGAAATGCAATCTAAAAGTATTGGTTTTATCATTCTATTAACAGACTACGGTTACGACATGTTTTTTATGTTTTCTATTGAGACTCCAAAGCAATTTTGTCTGCTTCAGATTGATAATATCGCTAAAAAGATTCACCATAATAATTACCTGTTTAAAGATATGAATATCATAACGATAAATAGAAAGCATTAGGGATTAGGTTACGTTCACGTCGTCAGCTTAAATCAACATTGAGTAGGCTCAAAAGCAATCCTAGTTAGTGATCAATAGATTTTTTTGAATCGCTTGCCTAATTACAAACGTATAGTATTGCTTAAATTATATCCCTTTGTATTCCAACCTTTACAACCACCATATCTTCATTTGTGTGTTCTATCCTCGATTTCGATAACGTCATAAGTGGATGTAGGCCTAATTAGGATGTTATAATTTTAGTATTACTACCACTGATACTGCGGTGATTTAAAGAGTTATTATCAAATATGTTTAGATTTGAAATTAGATCTTGTTATACGATCACGCCGACCCAACATTTGCACAATTTAATTATTTTATTTGTTTACTTAGTAAAACCGGACCTTTTAACAAGCTTTACTTCCTTGGTTTTCGGTACTCCTGTTGTATATTTATATGAGCGAATAAAAGAATTTTGATTTTTTTTATGAACAAGTTAAATTCAAAGAAGTCATAATAGTTGTGTACCATCTACCCATTAATATTGGCATAGGCGGATTCAAGGTGGGGGGGGGCGCACCCCACCCCTCATAAATTTTTCAAGATTTAAAATATATTCAGAAAAAAAATATTTTTATTTAAATTTAAGTCTAAGAATATCATTTCCGGCGATCTAGAGGTGCCATAATAACAATTTTTCTTAATCAGCCCCAACATTGTTTGGGTTGAGGTAATATCAACCCGCCGTTTATGAAAGTCCCGCTCTGGGCTCCCTCTATTTCAAATTCCTGGATCCGCCACTGATGGGACTCGGTTTAGTTTTGCACTTTTAGGGGATCCAGGAATTCAAAGTAGAGGGAGGCCTAGGAAGGGACTTTCACAGAGGGAGAGTCTAGACCACCTCAGCCCCATCATGGCTGTGGCTGAGGTAAAAAAAATTATGATTAATGCTTCTATAGATGGTCGGATAATAATAATAATAATAATAATTATTATTATTATTATTATTCATATTATTATTATTATTATTATTATTATTATTATTATTATTATTATTATTATTATTATTATTATTATTATTTTTATTATTATTATCATTATTATTATTATTATTATTTTTATTATCATCATCATCATTATTATCATTATTATTATTATTATTAATATTATTATTATTATTATTATTATTATTATTATTATTATTGTTATTGTTGTTGTTGTTCTTGTTGTTGTTGTTATTATTATTATTATTATTAGCGAAATGTGATACCAAAAATTTAACGTAGCGCTGTGACAACAGGAGAGCGTGAATCAGCTATTCTCATTCCATATTGCATATTTGTAATGCTCTGCACCAGTCGACTTAATTCCTTACTTACACCCATTAGATATTGGTCACCTCTGGCTTATCATCACTGTTTAAATTTGAAAAAAAAAAACTAATTCGTCGTCGTCACAGTTGTATTTCTTTTAAAAGCAGTAAAGATTCATCCTGTTTCTAAAGTAGATATAATAATTGGTTATGAGTTAAATTTCTGTAATTGGTATTTTTGCGAATGCTTGTTGACTGATACGATAGCATATGATTCTCCTCAATCGTTTAGTTGCTTTATTCACACTTGACTTAACTTACGCATCCTTCTATATTGACCATAGGGATTGTCGATATCGGGAAACTGATATAGCAAATATTAAAGGGAAGTAGACAATTTAAAATCGAAAATTGTTTTTATAATAAATAATAACATAAAATAAAAATGCTACAAGGAAAAATAACAATGAAAACAACAAATAAGCAAAAGAACCATTTTCACTGCTTCGTTCTCCAGCTCTTTGAAGCATAAATATTGCTGGAACAGTACTCACAGAAGCACAGTGCAAATGACATCCAGCTAGCCTATCCTACAGTAATAAATAAATCAGACGAGAGTGAGATTGCCAGAAAACTAAAAAAGATGAGAAAAATATGTCGTGAAAATCTGTTTTTAAGGGACTTCTTAAACATTCCAACTAAAGGTGGATTTTGTATATCCTCCGAAAGGTCATTCCATAAATAAGCTGGTAAAAACATTAATGATTATAAGGTGAAAGAAGATGAATCGGTGATTTGGGAGGTAATTATTAATACTAATACTCAACGGTATGGCTAGACCATAATTCAACAGAGGGTTCATCAATAGAAAGAGTACGTTACCTTAAAACCTTGTACCTTAATGACACTCAATGGGGACATTTTCGATTTTTATACGTCACTGCGATTTAAATTTTAAGCATCTTATACGCGATAAATAAGCGTGACAAATTTGCTATCATAATCCTCATAATTCGCTGAAATTTATGGTTATAAGTTAGTTCAGTAATATTTCGCAGTTAGGCCCCTATCTTAACATTGTTGACTACTTTTTCATAAACCACCCCGCCATAACCAAGCGTCTCAATGGAGCAAGCCCATTGGGTCTGTTTAGAACGCTGCACATGCGTAGTTAAAGATAAATTTAAAATATAATATGTAATGTAGAAAATTTAGGATTAGCAAACATTTTAATAATAGGCTAGGTGAATACTGTGAATTGAAAAAGTTAGAACTAAAAAAAAAGACAATAACTTAGTTAGTTATAAGTTGAGTTTGATAAACGAGTTAATATCTACAGATTATGTATATAAAGCTTAACAATTAATCTTATCCCATGAGATCAGTAATCATACTCTTCCTAATATTTTAATCAATATTGTATCACAAATTATTAGTAGGCGGACACAAAGTCAACAACTAATTTAAAGATAAGTACACGTTAAGATAATCACATTCCGCATTCATGCGGACCAAATTGGCTGCAGTCCATATCGATTAATAGGGTGGTTTCGTCAAGCGATGTTCATACGTGTGGCGCGTCGGGCATACGAGAACAGAAATTAGCTGACCAGGGAACAGTGAAATTCACTGTTCCCTGAGCTGACGTATATGTATTTTATGCGTATTAAGGTGCGCTGACCGTTGCGCACCACGCACGTATAAAAAAAACTCGTACATGTCAGTCTACACGCATTAGTACTAAAACATATGGGAATACAAAGCTGTTCTGATTATTAGTCCATCAAATTGAAAATATATTTTTTTCAAGTCGCCGATATTAAGATCCACTGAAGCCTGATAATAACATAGACGTGATTGGACGTCTTTGTTCCAAAACAAGAGTGAGATTATCGTTCAGAAATAACTTCATGTTCACATTGTACAATAGTCCATTGTCAGAAGAACCACATTACAACCCTCGTTTAGTAGTAGCTGAACAGGCTTTTAACGAGAAAAAGGTGTAGAATCGTAATGGTAAAGTTGAATGTTTCTAGGTAGGCACTGTCTCTTATACACATCTAGATGTGTATAAGAGACAGCTCCAGCTCTTTGAAGCATAAATATTGCTGGAACAGTACTCACATTTGGCAATCAATAAACCAAACTAATCTATGTTTGGTGAAGAGCACATTGAAGTATAAAATAATTAACGCTATAGTTCTATTCAAAGGGTTAAAACTGAGATGAATTAAAGCATGATTAAAGCATAATAGATAAAACGTGTTGATTTCATCCAGTACACATAAAACAACGGTACGTTGAGTTTCAATCTTTGCAGTAGCGTTATTGTTAATTATTTTTGAATAAAATTTAGTACTAAGCAAATATGTATGGTGGTAAGCAGACAGCGATCTATCTAATATAATTAGTTGTGATCATTAATGTGATCCCATAGTGCTTCTTTCAAGTGACTTGATGGAGTTAGTGAAGCGTGACTTTAGTGCATAACTGCATTCAGCCGAATCCAGCGATCCGATAAACCATTATAGAAACCTTTAAATCTACCAAGAGATTCACTCAAAAATAATGAACTCACTATTCGTTCACTCTGTTGTTCTTTGAATATAGATTGCGTTTATTAATGAGAAATCAAAAGGTAGTCACGTATCACCACTATTACCAAACCTTTTAAAATAATGACCAATCCAATGTAGATGTTTTCACACTGTAATCATGTCCATAATATAATTGCCATGTCATTATTTTCATACTCTAAATACGTACTAAATATTTCTCCAAAACTGCTGACCGATTGCTTTTTGTAATTTAATAGTAATTCTATGAACTAAATAATGGTACACCCATATTGAGGGGACACCCCTATTAAGGGGACACTTTTCTGTGAAACGAGGGGAAATATATCTTTTAACACTATAACCAACCCCTATGTGCTAAATGGTCAAATGACCCTTATTAAGAAGACACTTAATAGTTTTTCATTGTATCACAACACAACTACAGAAGGCTCAAATAAGAAAAAATTAATCAACTTTATACTTTAAATCTCATGACATTGTTATAGCAATAAAGAATATCTGAACCTGAATTTTGTTATACCTTTTGAGCAATGAACCAAAATCTTCTCCCCTGAATCCATAGAGTTAATATCGGTAAAGGCCTACAGCATGTGTTATTTAGTATAAACCAATCTTAGTCAATCTTGACCCGTAACCATGAGAATCTCTTTGTTTTTCATACATGATTCTAATCCATACCATAATATGCTGCTATATTCATGCTAAATGCATTCAATAAAAAGCGCAACATTAAAGGGAAAAAAAAGAATATTTGGTCATTACCAATTGCATCATGAAACAATATTGGGAACATATAAAACTATTGTTGTTTTAATTAAATTTCTGTTGATTTCATATTTATAAATGAAATTGTATCTTCCATTGCAAATTATTTCTTTAAATTAGTTCCAATTCTACTGTAACTGATTCTTATGTCAATAAAAATTAAATTATAAAGAATGTATGTTATTGTTAAATGAAAACATGCCAGAAATCCCTATTAAGGGGACAATTTCACGTTTTTGGTTAGTGTCCCTAGGGGTACTCCTATTCTAGGGGACACTCCTATTAAGGGGCCACTTTTTTTTATCCCGAAGGTGTCTCCTTTATATTAGGTTTGCTACCATGCGTGGTACTGTAAACACGCAATATAAAAAATCAGTAAAAAATAATAACAGGGATTGAATATGAACATGTTATGATAGCCAAGCTTAGCTCTTCAATGAGAAGTTCCTTTTCAGTTGTATGAAAGAGCGTCTATGGTGGGATTAAAACCTACAGCATTTTGCTATCAAGGCGGGTGTCATACCACTAGATCTAAATGTATTTACTCTTTCTAGTTCCTTGTTCATTGTTGCTACCCATGCTATATTTTCCTGATTTTCCTAATTATTAATGATATTATATAATAATAATAACAACGATGACAACGACAACAACGACAACAACAACAACAATAATAATAATAATAATAATAATAATAATAATAATAATAATATATGTTAGACTTATATAGCGCTTCACGCCAACAAGGATTTGATGAGTGTTTATCATCAAATAATGGTAATGGTACTTCGGCGAGTCGAGTGGCCGAGTGGTGGTAAGGCGGGGGTGCCGCTAACTACAACCTTAACATCGGGGCTAGAACCAAGTCTTCTCGGATGACTTAAAATGGAGGTCCGGTGTACACATTTGGCTCGTGTGCACCTTAAATAACCCATTCCATCTTTCGGAAGATTAGGGGGTTATCCCAATGCGATGGATCAATTCAGCACCTGTCCTTGTGAAAAAATGTGAACCGCCTCTCAACGGCCGCTAGGTAGTCACGGGCCACTCCCATACGCAATTCAGCACAATGACGATGCGAGTTATGGGTTATTCTCCCACCTTTACCTTTACTAGAGGTAGAGACTTGCATAGCACATAATACGTACAAAACACAAAAAAACAAAATATGTTCTAGTAGGTCAACTAAATAAATATCTGTTGTGCAATGCATCGAGAACTAGTGTTGTTCTACGCATGTGCAAGAGTATAAAATTCCAATTCTGGTAGGATTTGAATTTTCGGTTGGAGACCCGATTGTGGAAACATTTTTTCATTCGCAGATTCCTCTTCTTTAACGTTGGAAATGTATGTGTAGTTATAGCATTACCGCAAGACGGTTCAGATTTTATTCTTATATTGTACCATCATTTATTTATAAAAGTAGGCCTATGATTTCGGAGAACCAGTCTTGTCGTTAAATATGCTTAAGATGAGGGCGTATCACAAGGATCTCTGTTGTCTGCTATGCAATAAGATCTAGACTTTTTCCACGCAAGTGCAAGAGTGTGGAAAATCAGTTGCTTTTAATCGGACTTGAATTTCCAACTGGGCCAATGACCCAGATGGTTGAGGCTAAGGCATAGACAGCACAAGGTGCCTGGTGCGAGTATCGGTTGGGGCAACTTTCTTCACGCACGCAGATTCATCTTCTTTAAAGTACAACATTTATATATACAGTAATTATAGCATTGTGTCATGATTTACATGTGTATAATTGCTTATATTAACCCCACATCCGTGTTGGTCAATCAACGATTGTAATCTTAAGGTTACCGATTCTGTAACGTATCTTGGTGTTGTATTATCAAGCGATATGAAATCTTCCAATCATGTTCAAGACAGAGTTAGAAAATGTCAAAGGGCCTTTTATTCCCTTCAAAGTATTGGAATGTGTAGAAACGGTTCATCTTATAATGCTAAGAACCTTATTTGGAAATCCATAATGCTACCGATACTAACTTTTGGATGTGAATGTGTTAACACAAATGCTAGTGCTATTAAAAATTAGAAACTACACAGAGTCAATTTGATTAAAACCGCGATTGGTCTCCCGAAGTTCTGTAGGAACACCCCTCTTTTGCATGCCCTAAGTATAAGTAAAGTTCAGTGTCAATTAATCAGAACAAATTAACTGAATTTTAACCAGATTTTTTGCAATAACTCTAAATCGAGAAAATTATATGGTCACATTTTAAATGTTGAGGCCAATGGCTGTAAAAACATTAAGAACACTCTGGTCGATAATATTAAGTGCAGTACCGGTGATGTGGATGATTTTTACTTATCATTGTATGTCACAAATAATCACTATCGCAAAGATCGGATTAAAGCGCCTCGACTGTAATGATCACGGTATTTGTGACAATATAAAAACCATTACGGAGTTTGACCCCTCCCTTAACAACGAAACCATTAATTACCTAAAATTATTACTCAGAAGTTTCTGAATGAGAGGTTACGTTTTGCTGCTCTATTATGTATATATACTTATGCTAGTTTAGTTCTGTGTTTTAATTATTTGTCTTTTTATAATGTAAGTTAATGTTCTGTTTCCGATGTTTGAACCTGTTTTTATTTTTATGCCTCTCCTGTTTGGAGGTATTTTTTGAATAAATTGATTGAATAAAATTGATTGATATATCATTGTTTGAAAGCTTAACTAAAATACCTTACTGTCACATCTCAGTCCACGACGTTTTATATCGTAATAATATCAAATAATAAAAGCCTATAATTTTTTATTTGATTTTTGTTACCAAGAAAACGTAAATTTCATGTTTTATAGTGGCCAATAAAATAACTATATCTTGGAACAAATTTGAAACAAATACGACTTCACGATATTGAGGAG